TGGCTATTTAACTGGTCATAATGGAAATGTTCCCGATTTTTGAGCCACAATTAAACAGTGTGTCTTCATGTATTAGATGTATTCCAGCTATGCAGGATACTGTGCTTTTAAAAGTGATGGTTTCATTATATTTTATAAATCATCTGATTTTCATGAAGCGACTGCTCTGTTTGTTACAATTTAGAGGCACTTATTTTTGCATTTAGGATATACAGACTGCATAACATGACGGCTATACTGTACAAATTCAGTCTGACTGTCCTAACTCCTCTTATTGAGTTCTAAGCACAATTTGAAATGGACACGAAGAGCATAATGCACTATATGTAATATACATTTTTGGTTCCATTGACACCTCAGGTTACCCATCTCTGCGCATTGAGAAGAATGACTTGAAAAGTGTGACTCTGCAAGAAGCCAAGGCCAAAGTGAAAGACATCGCAATTTCTCGAGAGAGGGTCACGCTGCGTGATGTGCTACAGGAAGGTACGGGGCTTTCGAATCGGAGTAAATCTTCCCGATGTGGATCTGTGCCTCTGCACGGGAGCTCAGTTAGCGCTTGGCCGTAGATGTGGATACACACCCGTCTGAAAGCTTTAAAAGTATTGAGGAACCATGAAGGCCGATGGAATGTTTTGCTTCATCATAACGAGACATTGTTCCAGCTGAAAGCTAAGAGCAGAACTACAGGAATGGAATGTTTTGCTTCATCATAACGAGACATTGTTCCAGCTGAAAGCTAAGAGCAGAACTACAGGTAGAGAGATGTCAGGTTCATGATGATGACTTTTCTGCAGATGTAGATCAGTAACAGTGGTCCTGGTGGGCTTATATGACTATTACTTTTCTATAAGTTTTTATGTATGCTTGTTTCATTGTGCCGTGTAGATGTTTTGAAGACGTTATGATGTCTTTTTTTTAGACTCATTCAAGTAAAGCATTGCCCTATTGTTCTATTCTATGTAATTGCAGTGTTCCTTGATAAACTAAAAGCATTGTGGTGACGGAATTGTAAAGCACAGCAAAACAAAACACGATGGGCTCTGGAAAACTGCTAGCGAAGAGTAAGGCATTGGTGTGATTGTGGTGAAGCCATTGTAAAACTGCACAGCTACAGTGCATGTTGCCCATGGTAAACATTCCTAGGGTTTCTTGACTATTATTTGGCAGGTTTTGTGTTGGTTGCAGAAAATGTATAAGCATGAAGTTAATCAGTGTTCCGAGAACACACTGAGTGTGGCCAGAGGTGTAAAAAGCGTGATGTCACAAGCACATTGGTTAATTTGTTTCCAAGAATCTCTAATCCAGGGATGGTTTAGCACTTTCCAGTCAGGAGAGCCATGGGTGAATGTAAGTAGGTAGGTCTTAGCGCAAGCGGTGTTTAACAGTCTGCTCTGTAATCAGACCTTGGCAGAAAACTAGTACATCCTGTACTTTAAAAAAAATATTGTCACAACTGCAGTAGCAAAGTTGCTTTTTACTTGTGTTGTACAGCCATATTCAAGTAAAAATAGGGATTAAAGATATTTTTTACCTTTAAAGATGTTTGTACATCGCTTCAGCTGAGCTGTTATTAGCTCTTTTAATGACTGCTTTATTGCATTATTTCCAATGTCTAGTCTGTGACCAAGTACTAAGTACTTCTCTTTTCTCACAAAATGCCTACAATTTCAGCAGAGAGAAAAGTTAATCAAAAGGTTGAAAAAGCCTGAAATATGGATGGTGTTTTTAATCTTAAATTGAAAAAAGAATTGAATAGTTTACATCAATTATTATATGGTGTACTGGTGAAAATAAGCTCACAAAAGAGAAGAACCTGATTCCAGAATTTAACAGTTAAAGACAGAGGTAATGCCACTCTGAAACAAGGCGGTTTACTAATGTATTAAGTGCAACAGTGATTGTTAATCGGTAATTATTTGAAGGCGATATCTCCTGTAAGTACATCTTTGTCCAACAAGCAAAGATGCTCTTGTAAATGTATCTGCAAAAACAGGGTTTCAATGCTTTTGTTTGCAGCTGTATACCAGAGGTAGTTTTTTATCATACAGCGTATTACCCTAAAGAATGTGAATAGCACTATTGTAGTTTAGCCAAAGTGGTATGCTTTTGACAGACGTTGGGAAGATTTATGTTTTTAGGGCAGAGCGAATTAAGTCAGACAGGTCTCTCATGAAATCTGCACATTGTAAATTGCTAAATGAGCACTGCTGATTAACCAGGCAGGCACTGGCAAGCAACTGAAGAGTCTCATGCAGGAGACGCTGATTGACGCAGGCCTTTTGCAGTAATCCGTGAAGAAATCTCCTGTTTAAACACAAGAAGAGGACGACTAGGCCCCGAGGGATGGATTTTCTAGTTTACGTAAATGTTGTGGAAGAGTGATTTATTTATGTAAAGGATATTTAAACCAGCCAAAACCCTGAGAGATTTAACATCTTGTTTTCTGAGAACAAAGCTGAAAAAAGACCATCTTACTGTGTTGCCAGCGATCTTTTTTTCTTCTTTCACTACAAGTTTGCGTCGGGGTACATTTGCTAGTTTGTGAAACTAAGTGTCATCAAACATGACACTGAAAAGACAGAAAAAAGAGATTTATTAAAAAAAAACACCTAAATGAAGTTTGCTACTTGATTAGGTCACAAATTTCAGGATCTTATGTTCTGACTACTGTCACTGATAACTGGTTTAAGTTGCGTGGCAGTTTTCGAAATACCTGAATATTGAAGGAGAATTAATTTATTTTATTAAAGCTGGTCATCGAAATAGACATATGTGAACCTCTGAGTTCTAGGTAGAAATATGGAGTCCTTATCTTTGCTTCATTTGTGTGGGGCAAGAACAATGGACAAATTATAACTCTTGATCCAGAAAAAAAGCAGGTGAACCACAGGTTGTTAACTGCAATTTCGCTCAGCAGGTTTGGATTAGAGAAAGGTCTTTAATCTATTAATTTTTAACTCTGTTGCGTGTGATACTGGTTCCCTTCAATTATTTCAGAATTGCTTCCAGTTCATAACCATGACATTTACAGCCACTTGAATAAGGCTACACATTAGAAAGGATTAGTGCGGAAATATTCATTCAGCAACAGCACTGATGACCTGCTGATTCAATGGAACAGGTGCCAGCATTATGTAATGTTTACAGTACCTTTAATGTTTTATAGATATTAATCCACAGCCTCACGAGGCTCAATACAACCCAATTTGTGCAAGCTTGGTTTATATAACCTCTCTCCTTGAATTTTTCAGAAGCAATCCAAGATTATTTATGTTCACCAGAAGGCTCTAAGACATACATCAAATGATATTGGTTCCAGTACTCATTTGTTTGTTTTTAATGTTTCTTGGTATATAATGATTCTTGAATATATTGTTTACGGAACCTTAACACAAAGGTTACTCATTCTGTCTGTCTCACTCTAAAGGAAAAGGATCCTTATCATTATTTTATCCACATACATCATGGATCTAAATAATGTTTGACAAAAATTAGTTTTTTTTTTCATTTTGATGAATCTCACCACAAAGTGTCAGTATGAAGAGAGTTAAACCAGGAGAATATATTAGATACATCTCCCATGAACAATTGACTAGAAAAACAACTATGTAAGAGGAAATTATTTAGAACAGAATTTGCTGGTGTATATTATGATTTTATTTATCTGCATATATCTGCAGTATGTATTTTTGTTAAAGAAATGAAGATGGCAGTTCTCGGTCTCCAGGAAGTCATGCACGAAACCTTTGAGTCACAATACCAGTCAGCAGAAATTGTGTTGGTGTCCATCACTTCATTTAGTTGGCCGGCATTTGTTTAGATCAGTGTTGTAATTTGAACGGTTAGATGGTGTTTTGTGTGAATGGTGTTGTGCCTGTGTCTGTTCATCGCCCTCAGTTCAAACGTTTGATCAGATCCCTTCTGACTGACTTTAATCAACACATGTTTGTGTCGCAGGTACATTTGGTCGCATTTTTCATGGCGTTCTTTTGGATGAGAAGGATCCCAGCAAGGAAAAGCAAGTCTTTGTGAAAACGGTGAAAGGTGAGTGATGTTTTCCCAGTGGCAGCAATGTGACCTCCGCACATCCCACAGCCCAAGTTATTGTATGAAGCCAAAGAGAGCAGAAAGATTTGCTTGGGAAATTAATGTCAAGATATCTGGTAGAATTTATTGAATGGTTTCACAGAGACAAGAGCCAGCACGTTTTTCTAGGTCACAAAGCGAGTTGCACACTTTGGTGTTTTGTTTTTCCTTGGCTTTCTGTTCACATGGACTGGTTCCAGTAGAGTAGACTGCTGCAAAGACAGCGCGTGCGAAACCCATGAGTTTATGGCCTTTTGTCTGATGTTCAGGAACTCCCAAGTGTGCTGATGCTCAACAAAAGGGAAGTGAAAGGACAAGCTTTGGTCTCATGGGAGAAATGCGGTCAGAAATGGAGAGCTTCCAGGAATCCTATGAATGGCACTTTCTGAAATGAGCCGAGTTAATCTTAAAGCGAAACTTCAGTCTTAAAACGCATAGCAGGGGTCTGCAGTCCTCACCCTGCAGAGGACCAGTCCCGTTAGTCAGAGAGATTATCCGCAGATTGGTGACATTTGGATGCCATTGATGAATTAAGTAGGTAAGTTGTTCAAGTTAGGGGTCTCTGGAACTTGGGGGTGCTCAGCTATTGGTCCTCTCTAAATTATTTAGTATAACAAATCACGTGCTCAATTGGTCAGAATTTAATTGCTCCGTGTCTTTAGAAACTGGTGACTTTACGGTGGTGAGTTACAGGGACAGGGACCAGTGCTCTACAGTGTGAAGCGGGGGCAGCACTGCACACACAGTGGCACATCTGCAGGTTGTCCAGTTGGAGACTGGAGTGTGTATTGCTTAGGCTATTTTACATCATAGATGTTTTCTGATCTTTCACAAGAGTTCTCTGTTCAGGCAGCTGTTCCAGATGTGAACCTTACCTAGTTTGTCAAAAGGCTACAGTGATAGAATTATTAATAGCTAATTATTTTGCTTTTAAACGTAACAAAAACATTACAGATGTCCAGAAATGGCACGTAAGAAGAAAGTAAGATTGGATTCTTAAAATAAATTGGGGATATTAATTTGAAAAATAAAAGCAGATTATAAATGACCAGTTTCATGAGGTGATGTCCTAATACATATTAGAAGAAAAAAGTGGTGTGTGAAGAAGCTCAGATAAAGAGCAAGGTTTTTGTAAGCATGTACATTATATGTGTTATTATACAATACTGTCTCAAAGCTTGAGAAAACTTGAACAGCCAAGTTTATCCTTGTGTGCTGTACACTTAAACAAGAATGTGATAAAATATACACAGTCATAGGGAACAGGAACAATTGTAGATAATATGATTAATGTAGTTCATGCAACCGATAATAAGTGGAGCATTTTTTATGGCCTAAAACAGAGTAGGTACAAAATGGCCAAAATATCAATTGTATTCAGCTGTTTGCTCTTAAATTAAACTAATTTCAGTATCAATTTAAAGTCTCAAAAGTTTGACGTCTTTCCTCTGTCCCCTCAACATTTGTTTTTGTGTGTGGCACAACTGCTGGGAACAGAGTGTCCGTTTGCAGGAGGAACAGTGAATATCTGAAGTTTTGAAACATAAAGTACTTTGCATTGTCTGAATTTTACGGTTTTCTTTTCTTTCCCATTTTACGGTCTGATTTCATTATTCTCGGTGTTCAACCCATTTGTTCCAGCAGAAAGCTTCTAAAACAAACCCCGCCTCTAAGCTGGCTGTGAGGGAGTGTGGTGTAGTAATTGAGTATTGGATGCCACTTTGGTGCTCACTATGCCTAGAACTTTGACCAACAGTCCGTGTCCTTCCCTCCACTTATTTTCAGTGTTTAACAATCTGATTGTGAACCTGAGTCTGGTTGCCTTGAATACTTCAGGTAGTGCTGCAGATAGTGTAAATGCAGCATATAGGACCAGATTGTGCCTAAAAAGTAATGCATCTTTCACATATGGAACAAGAAATTCTGAGAAATATGCTGCTGTAAAATAATATTGATTTTATGTCTTGTAGCTGTAGGTTTGGTGGTGCATTGCATTGAGAATCCAGGACTCACTGCATAGTTGTAGCAGCTGAAATCAGTGCGGCTAGTGTCATTAGTGGCATTCGAGCACGAGAGGACAACACCTGGCTTATCTTGGCCATTTCTTGTGTTCTAGTTTGCACTTAGTGGTGCCTTTGCAGCGAAGGTGCTCTGTGCTACCAGAATAGATTGTTTCAGAACGGCTCTATTCCTGTAATGTAATGTGAATTTGGCTTTACTATGAGCAGTGTCTTGAAAGTGAATCACTTAATTCCCATTTCGTTGTTAGCTATGTGTTACCAGCTTCTTTATTTTTCTGTTCAGAAACCAATGATCTTTTTATTCTGCCAATAAAGAACTGCCAATTGTACGTATTAGGAATTGTGCAGAAGTCCCAGGGGCACCCAAGGCTGATAGGAACCCAGACTCTTGGGTTCTCCTGTGTTTGGCTCTTAGGGTGTGCCTGTGGTCCATGAACAATGCTGCTGTCAACTGGTACTGCCCCACTACTCTCGTATGGAACCAGCCATGAACTTCCTCGCTGCTTTACACAAAGGAGGAAACAATACAGATTTACAAAAACACAAGGCGGATGCCAAATCTGGGTATAGAGATAAAATGCATTTATATGAACTAGACTAGAGTCAATCAAAAATACTGGGTTTCCTTTTTAAATCAAAGTGAAAATAAACAAAACTGTGAGGAAGTAAGGTTTCTGCCCCGGAGTCTTATCGCAAATCCAGTATGTGTGGTTTTTGCACTTTTCATGATTGTAGTTCAGTGATATGCCTTTCGATTTGGCTTATGTGGCTCATTTGGACCGAACGATTAAATCAGGAGCTTTGTATTGCTTTTATGAGCTGATTATGGGCTCATGGTAACAAGGGTGGGGACAGGTTTTTCACAGCAAGAGGCACAACACATGATTGCCTTTACTCTGTAGCGCGTCTTTATTTACAAACCAGATGTAAAGTCTGAAGGCCATAATGGCATCCAAGAACGGAACAATTCTTACTGCTCCTGTCTTTTTTCTGTGTTTGTAGACTTAGCTCATTTTTCAACTGGTTATACTCCTAATTCAGGTATGGTACAAATACAAGAGGTGCCTAGAGTTCACTGCTTCTGACATCACCAAGGTGAAATGCTGTGGATTGCTTTTTGCTTCCTGCATTCAGGCCTGTTTTCTGAAGTACTGTTATGAAGGAAACCGGGTTATCTTAAGACATGTATTTCAAATGGGTTACGTTGAATTAACTGACTGAAATTTTGATAATGGATTATTCTTTGTATCGATTTGCTCTTCTCGTAGGTCTGTTTAAAAGTGATTTTTTTTTTTTTTTTTTACTTCTGTAGACCATGCCTCGGAGGTTCAAGTGACAATGATGCTGACAGAGAGCTGTAAACTCCGAGGGCTACATCATAGGTGAGTCAGCTGAGGATACAATTCAGTCGACTGCATCTGCAGGGTTTGACATCTTCTGTTAATAAGGAGAGGAGAGAGGAGGTGAAAAAGGCTTTTAATACTGCACAGGCTACACCTTTTCTTAGTAGATTGTTGCACAAACTTTCTCAAGCTATTGCTTGGAAGGGAAAAGTAAAGAAGTCTCTAGACGTTGTATGTATTTTGTCACAGTTTGAGCCTTGTTTTGCTTAGGGACAGCTGTAAACTGCTCTTTTTTTCTGAACATGTCACTGAGGGATTGTTTAAAAGTAGTCCTCATTACACATGCGTGGACTTCATCTTCTGGCCTATGGAAAAAAAGATACAAAACTAAGTCTGGTGCCCTATTTATTTTTATAGTCGATCACATTCCACTTAAATCACACTTATACAATAATATAATAAAATGCTCCTCTCATTCTCAAGCAGTTGTTGGGGTGTAACGACAGAGGCAAGTCCTTAAAGGCCTCCTTTTGTCTAGTTATTCAATCCGGAGTTTTGCTACAATTACTTCTTACTTTTGTGTGAGCATTGTGATGCCTGATTCTCAGAAAAAGCCCTCTTTCTGATCAGGACAGATTTCACAACTCTCACCCTGTGGTTTTTTGTATTGTAAGTTTGTTAATACACATTTAACTTCTTTGAAATTCATAAACATCCTGTAAATTATTTTAAATATTTAACTGTTTTTTCACTGGATTATTTTTTTCTAATTTCGTCATTGCTTAACAGTGCTTTTTTTTTTTTAATTTAGCATCTGCAGTTATTTTATTATATTATTATACATTGCCCAGTTTGGAATTGTCGATTGTTTTTTATTTCTGTACACAGTAACAACCCCTGTACCCAACAGATCAATGTTTTTAAGAATCTTTTAGGATCTATAATTAGTAAGATGTCATGGTGTTATTCTTTGAACTCAGTCGCTGTTAGGTTCTAAAACTGAATAATTTTAAATCGGCACCCTTACAGGATCTGTTTCCATCTTTGTTTTCACCCACAATACTGTAGCACGCAAACTTTTGCGTTGATTCCAAAATCTGAGAAAAAGAAAGGGGTTTGAAATGAGCTCCTGGATTTGCAATGGCTGGGTTCTGGCTTTGCAGCTGTGCCTTGGAGTTGTTTGCGCTAAACGGGCATGATGCCCACTACCACTACCATTGTTCAGCAACTCTGGGGGAGGCGAGCCCTTGCAGCACACTGCCCCTGGTGCAATACACGTTCGTGCACATTCAGTTTCACAGAAGTAACACCGAGACAGGATGGTGCCAGCAGCGCTAAGAGATCATTAAACCAACCTGATGGTCGGTTACTTCGTATTCCTGGCCCTTAAGCAAATAGGCTGTCTCGCCCCAGATAGCCGCGCTCTCACAGCTCCAGTTTTTGGCACGTGGCCTCGACAAGATTGAAATTATAACCCACCAGTAAATTTAAAACCCAAGTAAACGTGAGCTGACCTGGCCCAGGCAATGGCACAGCCATTGAGAAGCAAAGGGATCGTATGTCCGGATCCTCTCCTGGCAGTTTCCACTTACAGAACTTGAACTCGTTCATCACAAAATCAGGTGCTTTTGCTTCATCACGGGCCGTGATGTCAAATGATAGCATGTTGTTGTTTTTTTTATTTAAAAGGAACAATGATGCCTCTCAGTCTTCAGTTTGGCTCCCTGAAGCTGTCCTTTTTTCTTCAGAGTTTAATTCTGTAATGACTGCTGTCCTGTGGCACAGTTTGTGTCTAACTTGCCACTGCTTGCATGTTCTGCAGCAGACTTTGCCAGTTCAGTTTGTGAAAATGTATGTTTCTTTGAGAGCACTGTCAAAACCCACATTTCTGAGATCACAGAACCTTACCCTGTGTCCTGGCCAAATTTCCAATTGGCCCTTACTAATCATGGCCTCCTAATAATCCCCCTCTATGAATTGGCTACATTACTCTGCTCTCCTCCCCACTGATAGCTGATGTGTGGTGAGCGTTCTGGCGCACTATGGCTGCCTTTGCATCATCCAGGTGGATGCTGCACATTGGTGGTGGTGGAGGGGAGTCCCCATTACCTGTAAAGCGCTTTGAGTATAGTGTCCAGAAAAGCGCTATATAAGTGTAAGCAATTATTATTATTATTACCCTAGTTAGGCTAGTTTAATAACAGTTTTAAAGTTCTTACTCTGTCTTAGAATGTTTAAAATTAAATTGCTAATCAAATAAGAAACCTAAAAGCTCCACTGAGTTGGAAATCTTAAGTCCTGGTTTACAGGTATTCTAAGCAAGCATAGTCCCAGTGCTGCAAATTATAGTTCTTGGTTTCGTGTTCATATTTGCACACACCTGCTTAATGGTGTCAGCGGTGCCCTTAATGAATACAGAGGACGTCTTGTAAATGCTATGAATTACAAGAGTTGTGTATTTTCTTCCCTTTTGTTATGGAATGAGTAGTATTAAAATGTTCTGTGACTGGTCAGACTGATGCAATACACACTGCACCCATTCTGCACCAATGTTTTCCACTTCCTTTGGTGTTGGGCAACATCCACAGTGCATGCTATGCCTATGGTAGACTGTTTACTTGACGTAATTTCTTACAGCACTTTTTTTCCTTTCCTTTTTGTGTCATAGTTCACCATCACTGTTATTAAGCAGGGGTGGTTGTCACCCTCCTTCTAATGCATTTGACTGCTTGAGTGAATAATAGGAGTTGCACACATCCGCAGAAAATGAATCTTTCCAGGAACTCTCCTCTGTTTCCCATTTTGACAGCTAATGCAGGGGGAAAAAAAGAGTTTCTAAATGCTTTCAGAGCGAAGATATGTTGACGAGGCCGTTGAGGGGCTGGATGTGGCTTCGGTCGAGTTAACCAGTTAACCAGAGTCCCAACACTGTTGTGTTTGTTTCCTTCAGGAACTTGTTGCCCATCAGCCAGGTGTGCACAGAGGAGGGGGAGAAGCCCATGGTGCTGCTGCCCTATATGAACTGGGGGAACCTCAAGCTTTTCCTGCGGCAGTGCAAGCTGGCCGAGGCCAACAACCCACAGGTAGAAGATGGCGCCGAGCTCCAGAGAGCTGTGCGGGAGCCCGAAGGAAGAGGCACTCTGAACCTGCTACTCATTCCTACTCGTTCGTTTTTTGATTCCCAGTATCCCTTTGAAGTTTAACTGGAATTGATCGTGCTTTCAATCAAAGTTAAGGATTGTGGTTTGAGTCTGCCTTTGTAATTTAACCGAATTCCATATCGGGTCCGATTTTGTTATAAGCGATAAGATTTTGAATAGAATCTTCTGGCATTGAAAGTAAGGTATCCCCGTGCTTCAGTGCTCCATTTCTTTTGTTAAGTACTTCAGATATTGGTCACAGCTCACAAAAGAGCTTTAACGTTTGAATTAGTTCTCTTGCTTGTGCTGCACTGTGCCCTGGGATGAAAATCAGAATGATAGCGTTAAGAAGATACCTGTGATTGTCCGCTATTTCCCAGCCTTGATACATTTCATTAATTCAGCATGCTTATCCCCATGTTTATTCATTGATCCTACATAGTCTCACCAGCTCGTTGAAAACATGCCTTTTAAAGGTGGCCATCACAGTGGCTATGAACACTGCCATCTCTCCACTCCTGGGTTGTATTCTGGCCAGTAGGCTCCTGCTTGTGTGGGCTTTGCTCGTTCATCACGTATTCACATGTTTGTACAGGGTTTTCTGTGTTTCTCCCTCATGCTGGGTGGGTTGATCAGCTACTTTAAATTGTCCATTACATATGGAAGGAGGGGTCCCACACCATTTTTCTGCTCTGTCAAAACTCTGCTCGCTCCGATGTGTTTCTGCCCAGTCTTGCTTATGGCTGCTTATTATTTTTGCAGTATTACTCTTTCTACCTGGTTAAAATTGGCCCTGACTTCCTGAACAGTGAAGTGGTTTTACAGTAAATTTCAATGATGTTCTAAAGAGCACTTGCATATGGTTAGGTTAGGTTTTGTTCGAAAAACTTCTGTATCTCAGATTACTCTGTGCTGTAACGTACATATAGCTAGGCCATCTTTCAAAACAAATTTCTGTGTGCTAGTGCCCACTTCTTGCATATTGAATATATAGCATAATGATTAACCTGATAGATCTCAGTTCTATACTTGGATTGTTCCGCAGGACAGTTGACAGTTTGTCATCTGTTATCATGCAAGCTTAAATTATTTTCATATAATGATAAACAACACATTTGAGCATAAGGTAATTGATTTAGGTATGGATATCTTATGATCATTATTCAGTAAAACACTTTTTGCTTGTCTTTTTGTAGTTAGATTGTTGGTTTCATTCCTTCTTCTGTAAAAAAATTGCCATATTCTCTGACTTTACCATGCAGGCAATTTCCCAGCAAGACCTGGTGCATATGGCCATTCAGATTGCTTGTGGGATGAGCTATCTTGCAAGACGAGAAGTGATTCATAAAGACCTAGCAGCCAGGAACTGTGTGTAAGTGCAGTGTACTATAAGCACCGGATTCAAAATTCAAGGTTTAGACAATAAAGAAGAAGCCTTGTTAAACTGTATGTTGTTGTTTGTTGTATTTTAAATACAAATTTGAACTTTTCCATGACTTTTAACTTATGCAGTACATCATAGATCAAATTAGACTGTTTAGTGACTCTCGTAGGGTTGTGATCCTTCCAATAAATCATAGTTGTTTCTGTGTCTCATTGCTTGACAAAACCGTAGTATTCATGTGATGAAAGATGTTACTATGTTTTAGACATGGGGTTTCAGGGCTTAGTCTGGAAGAGTTTTTGGTTTTAAAAAAGTTTTTAAAAATTAGGTCCGTTTTTTACTATTAAAACCACCCGCAAAAGGAATTGATGTTTAGCAGCCTATGGGTTGTTGTATAGTGATTTTTTTACATCCTGTTTTCATTAAAGTGTTAACAGTTACCGGCTCACGTTTGGTACTATGCAGACCAAAAGAGGGCTAATTCCATACTATTAATACACACCTGTGACAAGTGCCAAGTGAGGATAATACTCTGTTACTTTATACTGTGTTAATGTTCTGTCAGTCCATTGCAGGTTATTTAGATTTTTCATCTTCAATGTGTTCAACCGTGTCAGGAGCACACGTCATGCCTGTCCCGAGGGGTGTGTGTGACTCTGCAGGCTCCTGTTGGGTGTTTTAGTGTTGAATCATGAAGCTTGTTTCTGCTTCCTGCAGCATCGATGATGGAATGCAGGTGAAGATCACTGATAACGCCTTGTCCAGGGACCTCTTCCCTATGGACTACCACTGCCTAGGGGACAATGAGAATCGGCCGGTCCGCTGGATGGCTCTGGAGAGCCTGGTTAACAATGACTTCTCCAGTGCTAGTGACGTGGTAAGGAGGTTCTCTGTGCTTTTGATGCGGTGTTAAAGAGCTTCAGATCTTGCCTTGACATTTCAGGTGTTGAAAAATGCATTAGCGCCTTCATCACGTGAAAAATGCAAGTGATTTTATCTTGCTGTCACATGTAATTGTATTTTTGAAAATGTAATGGGCAGTTATCCAAAATAGTAATAATTAAAAGAATCTAGTAGCTGTGTTTCACTGCAATGAATTGTTGGGACATGCTTGCTGTCACTGGTATGAGCCTGTCCTTTCTGCGTTTCACCCAGTTTTTGTCTGGTGACATTGACAGCTAATCAATATATGTCTTTCCATTCTGTACAGTTAGGCGTCCACTCACTGTAGTTGCTAATTCAAGCTTTAGGGTCAGTGAACATCCCTGAACAGGCTTTTGTATTTTGGGTTCAGCCAAAGAGGCAAACATGCTGTATTTTCCTATTGTTTTCAGCTGGTGGGTCTTCCTTCTCTTGCTGTTAAAACTCGGGTGTGCCTCTTTTGCTAATATTAAACCTGCATTTAACCTTACACACTTCCCACATGGAATATTGATCAGACTGCATCTTTAAAAAAAAGAAAGTCCTGAGTCCTGCAGACTGAGCACAGCTGGCTCGGTTACCGCAGCAGAATGGATTGATTTGGTTCACTTAGCACCAAAAGAAATATGCTACAACAACAGAGTTAGGTTAAAAAACAGCAATATTGAATCCCATTGTGACAAAAGTTGCCTACTAAAAAACATCCGTTTTCAGTTGTTTTCATTTGTATCTCATAATTGTCCTTTTGTTTGTTATTTTTGCTAATATGAAAAATCACTGATTGGTTAGTTTTCTACTTGAGACAAGACTGCCGAGTGTCTGCCTGCTGCAGCCCGAAACTGCGTTTGAACCCGAGATCCTGTTGCTGCCCTCGGTTTCGGAGGCATGCAGGTGCACATTCCCGGGAAAGAGTTCTGTATCACGTTTAAATTGCATGGTTTACTTTTTCCCTACTGCTGAAAGTTGACATATCTTAAAAGCCGTGCCACGTATTGACTAAAACAATGAGGGGAATTGTATGGTGGACGTGATGTGAAATCTTGTGGTAACACTTTGTTCTTTTTGTGGCCGTCACCGAAGGGGAAGGAACGGTATTGCAGGAAATCAGGCAATGGCTTTGAAGGGTTTTTTTTTTGCTTTGTCCATTGCGTTGTGTGAAACAGCCAGAGGGAGCAGCGCTTTCTGTTTTACGTCACTGAGACAGTGAGGATGACTTTCGCAACGCATGACCGTGCCGATATATTATTTTCGATTTATCGGGAGCAGAGATTACCGATTAGTCTTCTGTCTTCTGAAACAGTCGTGGTGGCAAGCAAATGTTGTTGTTTTTTAGCTTCACACACGACTGTGAGATCCATAGTAAAAAGTGGATTAGTTTTACAGACAAATGAAGAAAGCGAACATGCTCAAAAAACATTGCCAGACAACAACTGGAATTTTTTATTTTCTGTATGTTTGAATAACATCAGAATATATGTTTCTCCAGGCTGAGGAATGTTCCGCTTATCTTTTCTTTGCTTTCTGACAGTGGAAAGAGGAAGGAAGTCTGACAGAATATTTGCTACCCAATTCATAGACTGTTGATTGCTTTAAACTTCAACACTGAAAACCAAAAATTATGTTGAAATTTAATTCCTCGGCTTTCTAAAAAACACGAATTGTGAACTGTTCCGTGCACCATGATGTGCTTAAAATATAGACATGAAGCACATTTAGACTAAAATTGTTTTTACATGATAAAGATCATATCCCAATTTTTGATTAAAAGGGTTTATGGCTAATATTGATGAAGGTTTTTAACATAAGTGCTGGGCGAATTTTACTTGATGTACTATTATTGAGCTAAAATGTAATAATCTGACTAAAACAGGTTATTTAAGGACAAAATGTTCAGATAAGCAAAGGGAATAAAAGTGATAATTTGTGCTTTCTTGGCATACAGCCTTAGTTGAAGTGGAACAGAGTAACACAGGCGCAATAATCAAACTCTTATCAGCAAAAAGGTCCTTAATTCAGTAAAGATGTTGCCACCAGCCATGCTGAAAAAATAACCCAGTGACTTTATAAATTTCCTTGCTTTGTTTGCTTGTGAATATTCTGTTCCCAGAGTGTAAAGTGGCGCCAACAGGTTCTTGAAGTTGTCCCTAAAGTAACTGACAGAGTTTCCATGTGCTTAGGTTGCTGACTGGAGGAGAATAAGTGCAGTTCTTTAGAATCATGAGTAAAAATAAACTTTAACCAGATGTTGGACAAAGCAGCCTTTGTTGTGATCTTTGCAATATTGTTGCATTGTTTTTTTTAAATTCCACACCCATGAGTAGAAATAAAAATGGAGAATGGGGTAAACTTTACATGGGAGACCTGATGGACTGGCAAATAAAGAGACGTGCTGTATTTCTAAACTCTGTATCGGACCTGGACATAGACCGTCCTCTAAACAGAATAACAATAAAAGAGGATAAAGTGAGAAGAGGTCTTGATTTCTGTCACCACCTGCTTGAGCTCTTAAAGTGATCCTAACACAGCTTCTGGCTTTTAAGAAGGGTCCACACCTCATAAAGAGTTTATATTTTGACCAGCTGTTGTCAAGCTGAAATATTAACTCTTCCCTTCAAAGAATTCATTTGGATCTTTTCTGAATCTCATGTTACCTATTTCTTATAACATTGCTTTAGTTTCAACTGGCAAATTTGCCTGTGATTAGATTAACTACAGAAGTTATCCTATAACTATTATGAAGATATCTAATGAGACTAATGGTTTAATATGTTTTTCATATGTATGCCCAGAAATTGCATTAGCTTTTAACACATCCTTATACCAAAAATATAGTCATTAAGCCACTACAGCAGTTATGTTTCTGTCATGTATGGTTGGTCAATTCTGTAGTTAAAAAAAATGCATCCAATCCAAATGAGTCTAACAAATGAGGACTCTAGAGTTGCATTCAGACTAACTTATTTAGATATTCTTCAGTCAACCCTGTTAGTAACAAAACAGAGTAAGATGGCTCATGCAGTAACAAAAGTGTTTTGGCGAGAATTGTGTGTTGAAAATATTGATGTCAGAAAAAAGAAGCTCAGACTCCAAGATGCCAAGATGGACACTAAATCTTTGTTGCTATCCTAAAACTCAGCTCATTCTAGTACACTGTAATTGTGATTACAACAGTGTTGGTACAACGACAATTCCAATTTTTCACCGCAACTAACTATAATCTATTTAGAAAAGGAAAATTTCCTAATCTACCATTTCTTTAAGCCTCCGTAATATTGTGATCCAATTATCATGTAAGTAATTTAGCATTGCTCTTTTGAGCCTTTTCTCCGATTTCAAAATCCCATCCTCTTTTTCTCTAGCCTTTCGGTATTATGACTTTCCCAGTTCCCTGGGGAGAGGCATGTAATCTTGCTTTCTTGTTCTGCAGTGGGCGTTTGGCGTGTCCCTGTGGGAATTGATGACTCTGGGACAGACTCCCTATGTCGACATAGACCCTTTCGAGATGGCCGCATACCTGAAGGACGGCTACAGAATAGCACAGCCCATCAACTGCCCCGATGAACTGTGAGTATCTTTCTGTTCCTTAAATTGCTGATTTCCACAGATCTGTTGGCCTCGGTGTAAATTGGCACACAACCAGGAAAGATGGTATTTTCATGATTTCATTGCACATCAGAATGTTAGTCAAAGCTTCCTGGGTGTCTCAGGGTTCTCTCCTGCAAATGACCAGATTTAATTTTTCCTAATTGAATTGTGTACTGTTGTTAGGGATGACTTTGCTTTGAAAAATACACTCTGCCCCGTTGGTATTGTCACTGAACTTTTGCATTTTCTTTAGTAGTATCTTGTCTAGTTTCCAAGGCTGCTGCTTCTTTTTTTTAGCGTTGCCAATTTGGAATAGCCAATTGTTTTGGTTTTTTTTTGCACTTTGGCTCGAAGCCATGAGCACTGTGACCGCACACAGGGGAGAAGGAAGAAGCACAGGCAGATTCATACCCTCCCATCTTTGAGCCACTAGTTTTGTAACACACCATGGCCTACGCAGGCCTATAACAGAGGTTCAGCACTTAATTGGAGGAGAGGTCCACTGCGATCCTGCTAAAGGGGTTGCTGGAGCCCAGAGCCCAGGGTGACGAATCCCACCC